TTCACCGTCAGCTAAAAACTGCCCTTATATCTCACTCAAACCCCAATCAGTGGACAGAATTCCTACCATTAGTTATGTTGGGAATACGAACATCTGTCAAAACTGACGCACAGTGTTCAGCTGCGGAACTGGTTTTCGGAACAACTCTGAGACTACCAGGTGAATTTATTAACCCTAATACTAATAGTCAAAAACTTAATTTAGAAAATTACGTAGATCAACTACGGGACCATATGTCCAAACTTAAACCAATTAATACTCGCGAACAATCGCGCGCCGTATATGTACCTAAAGACCTAAGCAATTGCACGCACGTCTGGATAAGATGTGATAAAATAAAATCACCACTCAGTCCTCCATTTGAAGGTCCTTTCAAAGTCGTTTCAAGAAAATCTAAATATTTCGTGATAGAAAAACATGGAAACATCGACTCAATAAGTATTGATAGGCTAAAGCCGGCTTATCTAGATCATGAACCACCATACGTATTGTTAGATCGTTTAACTGACAAATCCATTACGGAATCGAAATGTAAAGATGATAAATCTTTACAAATGACTAAAACGGTTCACTGGGCACATCCAATTAGTCAGTCAAGGATGTTGACAGTTTCGGCTGCAGGATAAAATCTAACCACGTAGCTAATCAGACCCTGCATCTACTTAAAAATTTTTTTTTTCCTCATTCCGCCTCACCTACAACTCCCCAGACCTTTTACCTTTAATATATAAGTATTATGTTAAATATTTTTTTTAAAATACTGGACACATAAGCTAGGTATTCCGAAACGATGGCTGAGGATTTTAATCAAACTCATACAACTAACACTGGCAAATACAACGATATCAAAAAGCAACCCAGGCGAGTTTTATAATTTCTTTTTCTGGTTAATTAACTATGTTGGCTGTACTTCTTATATATCTATATACATTTTTCACGTAGACTGGCTATACATATATACCATATGAACTACTTCTAAAAGTTTTCGGTCGAAGATATGTTTAGTAGCTTGATACGATTAATACTACTATTAATAAGTGGTTTTCTAGACAAAACATTTTGGATTAAACCATGGCCAAGTACTTATTAAAGTTCTCATCATTTTTTTTTCATGTTTAGGAAACTTATGTAATGACTTAACCAGTTTTCCTGCAGCATGCTTTTTAGTGTGATCATATAACCCATCTTTATTGGCAATATTCAGATTTTTTTTTAAATTCTGACATTTAAGAATCAATAACCGTGGAGATATAGTACAGTGCGTTACTGTAAGGTTACTATGTTAGCCACATTGATTCCGCATACCTAATTTTAAACACAACGTATAAAGGAACTCTTAAGTAATCATAACATTGAACTAACGATATGACTATCATAGCTATATTAACGTTAAACCAATTATTATTAGTGGTCCTGACAAAACCCTGGAACTTAACACTAGCGTTATAAAAAAGACATGTTATGTCAGTAACTTTTATATATATATATATATATATATATATATATATATACTTTTTCTCTCGGTTTAAGTATAACGTAAAATGGAAATTACAAAACTTGTAGATTTTTTTTTCTATAGTATTATTAGTAATCCTGTAGCGGTAAATAAATCCCCAAACTAAATAGCTCAATAGGTTTTCGACATTGGATGCTGACCATATGTTTTAGTGGACTCATCTAGCTGAAGGCGCTCGGTCATGCATCCGCACCAGATCACGTGCTGTCACGCTGTGCTCAACAACAATCGCAATCACTAGCCAGATTAGATCAGAGATTCCCGATATATTGGTTATTGCCAAATACACTCTTCCGATCTCCTCGACTCTGTCTTTTGATTTCTCTCGGTGGGAACAAAATATATTAGGTGTTACTGGTAGAAGTGTTGTCACACACTGAATACCTGTATCATCCTCATTGGTGAGCCCGACGTGATCTGGTACACCTAATTGTAACTGTGAGTCTGTTCCTTTTTTGGGATTTTTATATATCATTACCTTATTTTTAAACATTGTGATTTTTTTCTCGTGTTTTTTCTTGGATATAAATATATTTTCCCCTCGTTCATTATCGTACTTCATATTTCATCATGGCTGAACAGACACCCAAAGTACTCAAGCTTAAGACTTTGTCCCCGCCTTCGTTTCAACTCATGCCTTTCTGGCCCGACAATATCGAAGCCTGGTTCTGCTACGCAGAAGCTGACTTCTCCGAGCACGGCGTGATCGACACACGTGCACAATTCCTCGCAAGAGTCAAGGCACTACCACGCAAATTCAACAGGTACGTAACACCTAGTATGTTTACTAGTGATGTTTCTGAACCTTACGAAATCCTAAAACGTTCGATTCTTAAACGAGGAGACCTAACCGATCGACAAAGGTTAGATCAACTCTTCAATAACATCGACCTGCAACACGGTTCTGCGACTGACATGTTGCAAAGAATGAGAGAAGTGATAGGCCTAAGGACTTTCGACGAAGGTCTATTTAAACAACTTTTCTTGTCTAAACTTCCTCAACAGGTGCAAGCGGTTCTGGTCTCATTTCAGAACAACGCCTTAGACGAGCTAGCTGCATCTGCCGATCGTATTCTAGAAATAACGAAATCGTCTACTTCAGAGGTATTTTCCGTCAAAGAAAAGCCTCACGCGACTCAGAATGACATAACCGAGTTATGTCATACACTCACGCGTTATCTTAATCTTCGTAACGACCGTAGTCGCTCACGCAGTCCACGTAGAAGCATTTCGCGTAAACGATCTGTCTCTAGACCACGAGAGACGGATAACCCTGACTGGTGCTGGTATCATAACCAGTATGGGAAATCTTCCAGAAATTGCAGAAAACCCTGCAATTTTCCCAACACGAAAACGACTGACTCGAAAAACATTTCGGGAAACTTACAAGCCGGCACGCGTTAACGGCAACCGTAGCCGGCGAACATAGCCGTCTGTTGTACGTCACAGATGTGACAACGAGAGTTCGCTACCTCGTCGACACTGGCGCAGAAGTTAGCGTTCTCCCAGCAAATCATAACGACCGGCTCCACGAATCAACTCTAAACTTACAGGCGGCAAATGGAAAACCGATCGCCACGTATGGCAAAAGGTACGTCTACCTTAACGTGGGTTTACGCAAACCCATTCATTGGATTTTCGTTGTTGCAGATGTTTCTATGCCAATCATTGGTATGGATCTTCTACAACATCATAATCTAATCATCGACACGCGCAAACGGAGGCTAGTAGATGGAAACACTAAATTATCCGTTTGCGTAACTTCCTTTTCTGGTTGTAGATTATCCCCAGTCACAGTTAAGCATTCGATAGACCCACTCTATCAACCACTACTCGACAAGTACCCTGGGATACAACAAGCTCAAACGAAACTACCGTGTGTAACCAGCAATGTTACACATCACATCACGACTACAGGACCACCTGTATTCTCTAAAGCACGACGACTAGCTCCTGAAAAGCTGAGGTTAGCGAAAAACGAATTCGATCATATGATAGACTTAGGAATCATACGACCGTCAAACAGCCCTTATGCATCTCCGTTGCACATGGTCCCTAAAAAGGACAGCAACGATTGGCGTCCAACTGGTGACTATCGGCGATTGAATGCAAAAACCATTCCCGATCGTTACCCGTTGCCACACATTCACGATTTGACAGCTACCTTGAAAGGTACAACTGTCTTTTCGAAAATCGACTTGGTTAAAGCGTATAACCAAATCCCTATGGCTACAAACGACATACCAAAAACAGCTATCATAACTCCTTTCGGACTCTATGAATTTTTGCGAATGCCGTTCGGTCTAAGAAACGCTGCGCAAACTTTCCAAAGATTCATAGACGACGTCTTTCGAGGCCTCAACTTCGTACATGCGTATGTTGATGACTGCTTAATCGCAAGTCCGGACAGAGAATCACATCTCAAGCATCTGGATCTTGTTTTCGAACGATTACAAAAACATGGCATTACTGTAAACGTTCAGAAATGCCAATTCGGAACCGATTCGTTAGATTTCCTAGGACACACTATCGATGCTCAAGGCATTCGACCTCTTAGGACCAAAGTGGCGGCCATTCTGGATTACCCAGAACCGACCAACGTCAAGCAATTACGCACGTTTAACGGCCTGGTAAGTTTCTATAGACGCTTCATACCGAAATGCGCATTACTTATGAAACCTCTTACTGACCAACTGCGTGGAAATGCGAAATCCATTAATTTGGACGACACCGCACGAAAAGCATTCTCCACAGTTAAGGAACTGATCGTTAAAGCAACAATGCTCGCACATCAGGACACTGAAGCACCCATTAGTATCGCAGTAGACGCATCCGACTCGGCAATCGGAGGAGTCTTACAACAATGGATTAACAACTCCTGGCAACCCTTGGCATTTTTTTTCTAGACGGTTGCTAGACACCGAATCGAGATACAGCACATTCGGTAGGGAACTCCTAGCTATGTATTGTGCTGTACGGCATTTTCAACACTATATCGAAGGCCGCGAATTCACTCTATTCACTGACCATAAACCGCTCACTTTCTCGTTAAGCTCTCCTTCTGACAAGTACTCTCCCCGTGAGTCTCGACAACTGGACTACATTTCGCAGTTTACTTCAGATATTCAACATATTTCTGGAGCAAACAATGTAGTTGCAGACGCCTTGTCTCGAATAAACTCCTTGAACAGTTTCCAAGGAATCGACCTTCTTAAACTCGCCCAGCTTCAAAAAGAAGACACTGATCTTCAGCAAGAGTTATCGTCCACAACCCTTAAACTACGCATCAAACAGATGGGAACAGGTAAGGAAACCTTACTTTGTGACACATCTACAGGTAGAGATCGCCCAATCGTTCCGAAACATTATCGACGCAATGTCTTCAACACATTGCACAAACTTTCTCATCCAGGTGTTCGTGCAACCATCAAGCTCATAGCAGAACGCTTTTGCTGGCCTGGTATGAATAAAGACGTGAGGGAGTGGGCACGCTCCTGTGTAAGCTGCCAAAAATCTAAGGTCATCAGACACAATAAATGTCCCTTAGGCTCATTTAAAACTCCCGATGCTCGTTTCGACCATGTTCATCTGGATTTGGTAGGACCTTTACCAGATTCAAATGGATACTCTTACCTCTTGACCTGTGTAGATCGTTTCACTCGATGGCCAGAAGCAGTACCTATCAAGGACATCACTGCTGAAACAGTGGCCCGAACCTTCGTCGAACGATGGGTAGCAAACTTCGGTTGCCCTTCAACCATCACCACAGACCGCGGACGTCAGTTTGAGTCTGAACTTTTCCGTCGTCTGACCACACTATTAGGAAGCACTCGCTTCCGAACGACCGCCTACCACCCACAAGCAAACGGGTTGGTAGAACGCTTTCACCGACAACTAAAAGCTTCACTATCAGCTGCAAACGTTTCACAGTGGACCGACGCTCTTCCACTCGTCTTACTAGGTATCCGCAATGCAGTGAAAGCTGACATTGGATACACTGCGGCTCAACTCGTTTATGGAACGACACTTCGACTTCCAGGAGAATTCGTGGATCCTTCATCCTCTTCAATGAGCATGGATCTAACCTCCTACACGAACAGGCTTACAAACGCAATGCGTTCAGTTAAACCTGCTTCCACTCGACCTCAATCAACTGATGTTTTCATTCAACCTGAGTTACGATATAGTACACACGTTTTCGTTCGTCGAGACTCGCATCGACGACCTTTCGAATCAGCATACGAAGGACCTTTCAAAGTTCTTCAACGCGAACCGAAGTACTATATAATCGATAAGAACGGAACCAACGATAGCATCAGCATCGATCGCCTCAAAGCAGCGTATTTAGAAGGAAATCCTATCTACGTGGATTTTCCTTCGGTACAATTGAACGACACGACTCCGATACTTATAATACCTCATCCGACAACCAACACACACGATGATACTTCGACAGTATCCGAAAATAAACTTAAAACGACACGTTCTGGAAGAAGAGTAAGATTTCCAGAACATTTAAATGACTATTGCACGTAAGGCACTTCTCGACATTTTCTAAAGTATTTCAAGAAAAAATTTTTTAATATGCTTATATATTTTTATTTCTACTTCAAAAAATAACCAAAACAAAAACAATTTTTTTAACGCTATTACGTGTTCATGAGTTTATTTTCCTTTTTTTTACGCACATACGAGTGTATTTTCCACATGCACTTACAAAGAACGATGACGTTTATGAGTATCCAAAATTATTATTATTAGTGGTCCTGACAAAACCCTGGAACTTAACACTAGCGTTATAAAAAAGACATGTTATGTCAGTAACTTTTATATATATATATACTTTTTCTCTCGGTTTAAGTATAACGTAAAATGGAAATTACAAAACTTGTAGATTTTTTTTTTCTCTATAGTATTATTAGTAATCCAAACAAAGAACGTGTACTGTTCCAATATGGCATTCTGATATATCAACCAGTCCTCCTGTTATTTTTCTCTCATATCTGAGCAACTTATGGCCAACAAACATCGTATTGAAGGGGGTCTCGATGAACAAAAACGCATGGCCCACACGCACTCGAACCTCAGCCCTTCTGAATGCTAGACCGCGTGCCTAGCCATTAGGCCACATCAGACCACGAGGGGTGACTGCAATCTTTCCTTTTACCAATTATTCATTCATAATATTAATGAGTAATAGGACTTACACACTTCTAAGGTGCAGACAAATTCGTTACTTTGATTAATTGACGAAATATTGCCTCAGTATATCATACATATTTAAATCAAACCAGAAAAGAGTATTTGACACAACTGTACTTGATCCTCATACTCTACACAATTTTCTCCCCTCTTTAACCGTATATTCTCTTCCGTTTTATGGAGTAAAATTATGCACCCTTGGTTACGTACCTGGTTAGAAAAGGCGGTTGTCACAGTCCCAAGGTCACACATTTGAACGGGTTTGACAATGAGTCCAACTTCTAGCAAGTTTACACTTTTACATTTATACATTATAAAAAAGGATTTTATTTGTTTTCATACCTTTTCGTACACAAGATGGCTACATTATGTCTATTTTCTTCCAGAATACCAATCCGTTCTGGAGGCCAAACACTTACGTGGAACCGAACAATTATCAATTATGTTTATGTATTTCCATTTTGTATCTTATTATTTTGATGCAGGCAGTGGAGCGGTTCTTTAGGTTTGATTGGTTTTCACCATTACCTTTGAAGTAGATTCTTCTTTACTTTTTACTTGAGGGCGACTCAAGAGGCAGGTGAGTAAACACCTGATAGCCGGTCTGAGCATGGAAAAATCGTACCTCACCAACATGGTGTTGGGTAGCCCGCTCGCGGCACTTCCTCAGATATTCTTATTCCACAGTTTAACACTCTTTCTCATGAAAGCACTCAGTAAACCGTCAGCTATAGTTGTAGAAGAAATCACATGCTACTAAATAAGATGACAAGCTAGTAAATGAAGAGACATCCATGGACTACCGTTGACAGCGTTAGTTGCCACTTATTGTAAGTCAAACATTGAGTGAGTTGATAACTTTCCCTTGGAATGAGAAATAGAACTAAGGTGTTTTTGATAGATAGGTTAATCGAACCGACGTTCCTACGGAAGTCGATTCTAGGGGGAAGCTAATGTAACAGCATAGGTTGGTTGGTTAAGAGTTGACCCCAAACAACCAAGCATATGCCAAAACAGTATTGTTCAAGTATTCATTCACTTCCCTATTTTGTATAAGCGTTATATTCCTTATTATCTTATATTGAATGCTGAAAGCCTTTGTTTGTCTGAACAGATAATCCCACGCTCCACTGTGACTGCGCTAAGATCGAAATAAACACGTACTCACAACTTCTCGTGTTTCTTCTATTAATAGTACGAGG